AACCTTCGATGTACGGATAAACCTTCAGTTTTCCAACTTTGCATCTAAACTCAACAACATATTACGTGTTTGTCATTAGTTTTTGAGACACCAATTTTATAATTGAGTCTGTAGACAAAAATAATTTTTTTTGATGGTCCTATGCTCAGAAGTACTTACGGATGGTAGTGCCCAAATAGGATATTTGTATCTGGGGAGGAAAAAAGTATCCACACATTCATTTATTCAGTATTATATTTACATAAGCAGAAGAATCGTATATACATCACAATTACTTACCTGTACATAATTTTTAAAAAAATCATCATCCAATAAATAATATCTAAAGAACGGTATATCATAAAACACATATACGTAGTACTTAGTATTATTTATGTATACATAAAAACACAACAATGTATGTATTTTCAAAACAACAAGTAAAATACATCGTAATAAAAACATTTAGGTACAAAAAGTATTTTTCAAAAATTACTAAAAAAAAAAATATAGATTTTAGAGCTCCCAATACTTTTGTACAATATTCAATTATGAGAATGAATATTAGCAATAAACATTATTGCACAATAAACTGAGTACCCCTTGTACAAAAATACTGACAGCGTTTGGGAATTTTTAGATGCAGTAGATCGTAACAAAATTACAACAAAATGTAGAACATCATATAAAAAATGTAAAAAGCAATCTCCATCTGTTTAAATTGACTAACGACAATAATTAGTAGTTAGTTGATGTATGGTTAAATTAATTTCATACTAAAAAGCATCATGATATCAGGTATACGTAATTAGATACAATGGGACTGCTGAATCAATTTTTTACAATTTTCTTATAAAATCATTTCTTCCATTTGGTTCAATTAATAGCTGAAAATGGACGATTTTGTAACTGAATCTTTCAGCCTAATTTCACAAAGTCTGAATAACCTGAAATTTTGCACAGCGGTCAAGGGCCGATGACAATACGATAATCTTGGAAAAAAGTTAAATTCAATTAGATAATTAATAAAAATGTGTTTTGAAACTTCAAACAAATAGGATTAGAAAATTTGGACGATAATTGAACAATTCGGGAATTTAGAAAATAATTTGAATAAAAGGGTTTTTTAAAAAATTGGGTTTTTTAAAAAATTTGGATGTAAATTTAGACTTATCGTCAAACATAAAATATACCAAACATTGAAGCTCTTGATTATAAGTACCGTTGTTGCCTTTTTGAGACTAAAATTTCAGAAAATAAATTATTGTTTAAAAAACTATTATGGTAGCGTGTTATTTTAATTTTAACTTATGGCATTGGCTCTTTAATTGAATTCAAACATTAGATAGTATATTTAGATACATTTAATTGGATAAATTAATCAATTTCCAATCCAATTAGTGCACACAAAAATGAATATACACGAGTTTGAACCATATCCCCACCATCAATATGGGCATATGATGATGTCATTTGTGGAATAATCGAGCCATTCCAAGCTGTCTACGAACGTCGTTCCATATCAACCCGTCAAGATAAGAACCAAATAATTGTTGGTAAAAATCATAAAGCATGTCGCAAAGAATTATAGTACGGTGATTACAAGCAGTAACTGCTGACATCATTATTAAAAATATAATTTCCATTTCATTGAAACAGGTATCATAACAGGACATTTACTTAAAAAGTGACAACTCCGTTATCGGAGACTAGGTAATATCAGTTTACAGGTTACATTTTTCTATTTATACTAGGAATTCTTACGAAATCATCAGCAACGACAAGCCGACTGTTTCACACTGGGAACCATATTTACATTTTTGAATTAGCTTAATTAATGCCTAAGCGTGTGATTGAACACCAAAGGTGTCTGATTATTAATTACCATAAAAGTGGCGTTACTTCTCTTTATCCTAAGTAAGTTACATTCCTTGTCAGATTGAATCTTAAATCTTTTTTTAGTTTGAATACAAGGTAATGGCAACAAATTCAGTATAACTGAAGTGTTCAGTTTCCTCTATTTTAAGCTTTGTTTCTTTTTAAGTGAGCTTTGTGGCTCCTTTAAGGATCAACATCAAGGATGTTCAATCACAACTAGGATCTATTAGAGTACCGCCTCGATCTCGACAGAACCAACAGACACATGACGAAAAACTAGAGGTTAGTATAGTAGTTTATTTATTTATAATAAAATTCGGACTTCTAGAGAAGGTTTTCAAGTATGTTACAATAGTTTAGTGACATAGTACGCCAAGCTGCAGTAACGAACCAAGAAATCATATAGGCCAGGAACAAAAGGTCCAGGTTGAATAAATCGATAGTGACGTAGTAGCCTCAGAAAGAAACAGTAATGTAAAAATAGTAAATTTTTTTCATCCAAAGTATGATTCAACTTTTTTTTTAATTAACTGTACCAGAACATATCTGCAAATTTTATTAGTTTTGAGTTATGAAGTGAATTTTCATCAGATCATCGAATCAAAACGTATTTTATACAAAATTACGTTGTGCTTACAAAAATCTACAGTCGACTTGTTTTACACATCATGTGAAATGTGAAATGCAGGCAGTATTGACCGAGACCTATTCATATCTGAAAATAAATATGATCTAAACTCAGCTTTTACCTATATTTACGCCGAATTTTGAATATCACACACCTCGGGCACGATTGAACCGATTTTTTTTTCTAAATTTCATATAACACAGCTATCTAGGACCAAAGTAAAACTAAACGGACGGTAGAAAAAGTATTGGTTTTGTATCTGTTAAACTGCTAAAAATAATAATTTGGACAAAATAAAAAGTTGCAACCAAAAAAACAAAAGAGGCTCGATCAATCTATTTGGCTACTTGATTAACCGTTCATTGTTTTTTTTTTCGTAAATAGTCAAATATTTCAATACTCAGCCTGAAGGGTGTTTTGATAAAAAAAAACGAAAGAGTGAAAAAAACGAGTCTGGCGCTGGATGATTTAGTCGCTCATCTAGTTTCACGTTACTCCAAGGTAGCTTGGTTATTGTGAAAAATTTCACTAAAATCATTGTACTACTGCCTGAAATATGTGATATTAAATATTTAGCATGTTTAGATAAATCACCCTGTATATTCGTAGAAACTAATTTTTTGACCTTTTAAATTTTTAGATATGAAAGGTTCTCGCTGCATATTACTGTTTCACTATGATCGTTTATTACGGAACACCCTGTATTCAGGGTGATTCACAAGTCGCGACCAAACATGAAACATCATACACAGGACCGCATATGTCTTATATGTAATTCGTTTTTATTTTATTTTTACGAAAACAATGCTCTCTAGGAAAAAATTACAAGAGTAATTATTTGTAGCAAGTTGAAGGTAGAATTCGAAAAATTACGCGTTTCGAAAAAAAGTGGCGTACTATTTTTAATTCTAGAAATAATGCCACTAATCCCCTGTATCTCCGCCACTGGTGCACGTGAATTTTAAGTAAAGGCTTTTGAATGTTGACATTACTTAGGTAAATCCACATACCAAATTTTAGTTCATTCCAGTTGGGTTTTGAAGATATTAAAAAAAATGTTTTTTATTTTTAAACTTGTTAATGAAGCCCTCGAGTAAAAAATGTTACATAGAAGACCCCCATTAAAATGCGGTCCTATGTATGGTTTCATTTTTGGTCACGACTTGTGAATCACTCTGTATACGTTATTGAAGTATAAATCTAAATTTTTCCAGTGAATTTGGACAGGGTAAAATCGATCAAATGATGCATTTGCCTGAATTCACGAAGTGATAAAATTTCTACTAATTCGCATTCTGCAAAAAAGCTCAATAATTTTATCAATTTTTACTAATTGTCCTGGCCTATAAAGAAATAATTGAACTCAGAATTCTGCATGAACCGTATACAGCAAGCCACAGATATACAGGTACCTAAAAAGTATTATGTACATTTTGCGTTTCGTAAAAAAAATTAATATAACACAGGAAAATTATGGCCGATGTGTATGATAATTCTATCCTGCAATAATTTACTATACATTGAACTACAGGCAACATTGATTACAGTGTTATAATATACCAACGAATACAATCTAAGACAAAAAGACAGTCGACGTATGTACAGTTCAAGTCTTACATGCTTTAATATAACTTTATCACGTACAGTAATACAATTATAGTGACGACATCTCTCGATAGATGGCGTTTCTCGTGCTTCGCACCGTTTCATAAATTTGCACAAGCCCTTGTTATTACATCGGAAACAAAAAGGTCTATAACAAAACTGCAGTCTGATTTCCGCGATTTTCTTGAAAATAGTTAACTTTTTAGAACAGCTATAGTTGCCTTTTTCAGAAACTGTGAATTTTGGTGATATTTTGGATGAGATAACCGGTAAAATGTTTATTCGGTCTCTGACCTCTCTTAGGTTCCGCATCATTTTTCATGTTTTAGTAAATTTTAACATTTGAAGAAAAACTATACGAGTTTTGACATTACTATAAAACAAAAATAGTACAAATAGACTTTGCGAGATCATTAGCTGCGATTTTTTCAATATTCAATACTTAACATAAGCGGAACGTTTTACCACTTGGTTAAGTTTTTGTATCACGTTCAAAACACACGTAATTTAATAAATAAACACTTTAACGTCATAGTTCTCAATAAATCCCATGAGCTTGCACCATTTACTCTGATAAAAAGCAAAAATTTCACATGCATACGTATACGAATAACTTACCAAAAACCTCGAGTACCGCAAATATGAAAAATGAAAACAAAAAATCCTTGTTACCACTATTCTTTTACATTGTGTTCTAAAATGAGTAAGAAATCTGAGAAATATACAGGGTGTCCTCAAGTTGGGACTTTCCTTTACAGAGCGTATAGATCAGGCAATAATAAGCAAGTTTTTCGTCAAAAGGTATGATGCTATGTGGTACTATGAAATTAGGCGCCACATGAGTGTGTAAGTTAGCATAGTTTATAAACAAACCGCATTTGAAAGCTGAAATTGTCACATTCCTACAGCAACAACGTAAGTTATCGATTTGATAGTAGTTTACTATGAGCGTCTCCAAGATCCTATTGATACTCCTCGATGCGTAGGTTTGTTTATATCCTGCATACGCCGCCGGACTGGACACAGAAGACCTAGCCTAGGAAGAAGTAAACTTCTCATGTTTTTTTTTTCTTTACAAACAAAACATGTGACAGGGCAATACTTGAAATTTCGTACCAGATAGAGAGTATTTTTCTTTAATTTTCTTTTGACGTTGTTATTTCAAACGTAGTTGTTTCTTGAAACTCCCGACTTTCAGTACACCCTGACCTCTCAAATAATGTAAGTCCGCAAGTAATTATTATACTTGAAAATCTTACCAGATATCTGATTCTTGCTAAAGAAAAAAACACAACACAACTTACGGAAAATAGATTTGGCGATAAAGTAAGTTAAGAGAGCCACTTTATCGCATACCTAAAAAGCTAACTTCTTATGGGTTTAATGTCCATCAAGGTCAAGGTTAACGTTTATATATATATATATATATATATACATGATGACGATGTATATCGGGTTAATCAGGAGACTTTGGTCTTTCGTTTTGCAAAAAAAATCGAAAAATGGCTTGCCATCAGTACCTTTGAGGCCCTAAAAGTTTGCCTTTTCGAAATCTGACGGGAATTCTAATAGTCAGGCTCGCTTTCCACGCTCAAAATGTTTATTTTCCGATCACTATATAATTTTTATCTTGCATATATTATATACAACGCCGAAAACTTGGTGACTTTGTCATGTATCGAAAAGTAGCATATAGCCGAGGAATTTAAAAAAATCGAAAAGGAATAAAGAAATAAAAAAAACGCTATCCAAATGTATGATGTCTGGACTTTCTCGTGCAAAAATCTTTAGGTCCGTAGCTCCGTTATCTTCAGAGGAGATAGAAATTGAACATTGAACAGCACGTTTGAGACCCAAAAAGGCCAATATTCCAACGTTTGAAAATTGTCTATTCGAAACGGCTGCCCCAAACGAAAAAAACTCTCTCTACGTAATTTATAGTACTCGGCTAGATGTACAAAATGTGCCATGCGTGATTCCTTTTCTCTTTGGCATAAAGAAGGTATCGGAGTTTTTACGGCATTTCGCCATTTTTCTTGAACATTTCTAGAAAAAAAACTATGATGCGAATCAAAAACAGGGCAACGCTATAGGACCCGCTCCTCATCTATCTAACGTATGAGGCCGATCTCGAGTCTATATTTTGATAAAAGGCGAAACGTAGCCTATCAAAGTCTTCGTACTTCGCGAAAATCTAACGTTTTTTCGACTTTGACCCCCGTTTTTGATCGCATTTCGTCCTCGTATCTCGACGGTTCGAAGTCGCTTGTAAATCGTCCAGTTTCTAGTTTCCGAAACGGTATCGTTTTCCGCTAAAACCTTTCGCGAACCCAAAAAAAAACCAAAAAGCCGCGCCGACGTCGAAACGCTCCGATCCAGACTTGAGAGGGAAAGTGAAAAAAACCAAAGACCACCCCTTAATATTGTCGATAACCGTAACTCTCTAATAGCATTATTTTAAATCACAATTACGATGAACGGGTTTATCAGCAGTCTAAAAATTGAGCCAATCTTCGGCCAAGTAAGTCAACAGTCGTTCTTGGCCCCATTAAAAAGCTGAACACATTCAATTTCTTCTTATTCATGCCAGATAGTAGGTAGAATCATTCAATTTTTTAATAAATACTATCTCGGAGTAACGACGATTTCAAGCATTGACATGCAATTTTATGTTTTTAGGGAGTTTCAGAAAAACGTATGGTAGAACGTATATCCAAAAGTAACAAAATAATTCCTACCAAAATACAGATTGTAAATGTCTGTGCCACTGAATAAAGACAAAACCTGAACATTGTAACGTAAATTTTCAATGTCAAACTTTACCAACTTCATCGTATTTTCAGAATAAAATGAGTTGTAGTTTTTATACTGATTTTACCTCAGACTTCAAAAGGGCCACTTTTCAAGACAAACAATTTATGTAACATTGAATAACTTGGTCAAGAATGCAATAATTGTTCCAAGAAAGTTACATGCCCAGAAAATAATTTTCGTTTTTCTTCTTGGGCGGTAACAGTTTTCATTCCTAAGACTGGTGTAGTCTGTTGCAGAATTTGAAGTCAATACATATTGTAATCTACTATTTTTTACCCTTTATATAAACTTTTTGTGTTATTTTTCCATCCACCCTATACGAATACATTTCAATTTAACTGACCTCTCATTTCATTTTAAATCAGACGTCTAGATTGTTGCATAATTGACAAATATTCAATTGCCAAAAAAGCTTTCACGTTTTTGTCACTGCAAATTGTAAATTCGTATTCCCCAAGACTAACGGAAATCAGACTCAGCGAAAGAAAACATAAAAAAACATTAACGTTACTCTTTGGCACTGCAAAGAACGTTGTTCTCCAGGGTTGTCAACAGTCTAAAATTGAACTAACAAATCTCCGGCAACCGAACCAATTCAACTGGTTCTAAGCGGCTAACCCATGGTGGTGTCCCAGCACAACCCCGGAAAAACCCATGGGTCACTGATGGTGCTTCAACGCGCCATTCGCCGAAACGTGATGGTTAACAATGTGATGGGGCGTATGAACCGCCGGATGGTTGCCATGATGATGCGAACTGTGATGGTTCTGGTTGTTAGTGACGGAATTGTTGTTGTTCTGTTGCTGCGCCTGTTGCCGTTGCGAGTTTTTCTTGTTCTTCATTCGCCGGTTTTGGAACCATATCTTCACTTGACGTTCGGTCAGGTTTAGGTTCCTTGCCAGCTCCCATCGTTTCTGTTTGGAAACGTACGCGTTGAAAAGGAACTCCTTCTCCAATTCTAGCGTCTGGTATTTGGAATACGGCTTGCGCTTCTTGCGAACAGTCACTTGTCCGGTCCACTCTAGAGGGTTGGTACCGGTGCCGCACGGTACTGTCACGCCCATCGAACCCAAGGAACCTGGAACAAAGAAACCTTCATTTTAGTAATACCATTCATATGTTGCTTAGCCAGGAGCGAATATTTTTAAAGACCTTTCCGATCTTAAATTGTTTCGTTTATTCTCCATACGCAAAAAGTACAAGTATGAAAATACGTAAAATACGGCTAGTGATAGATCCTCATCAGATCCATAAATGGACAAGGGACGAAAGGTAAGATCAGGGTGAAAGTGAAAGAAATGTTAGAGTATATGAGGGAATTAGGTATGAAAGTCAGGATTATGTCGGTTAGAAGGCAGGGTACAGGCATGATTAAAGCAGACGATAACGCAAAATCAAGACGAAACAAACATGAGATCGAATGGAAGATTGCTTTTGCATATGACAAGAGGGAAATGAAAATTAGGATGAAAGATCAATTAATGAGAGAATGGCAGCAAAACTAGAATACTAGTAAGGAAGGAACATGGTAACTTCCCGGCCTACTTGCATAAATTTAGATTGAAGACCGGAATAGGTGAATGTGAGTGTGGCAGAGGAATTGAAAGTGCAATTACATATAAAAGAAGAATCTATGGTTGCGGAAAGGATGAATGCGAGAGGTAAAGTTATGAACAGTTATGGAAGCTTGAGGCCACAACTCAGAGTAAATGGTAAAATTAATAGTTACGCAGTGGAGATTTGGAACCTGTGGGCAAGAATGATAGTAGTACGGACGGGCGACCCGGTCCTCTCCAAGAGGTCATGTGTTTTTCTTTGTGTATTATGTGTTTTATTTTATTCATAATTGTTTTATATTGTTTATGTTTGGCAATGCGGAAAACAGTAAATCGAATAAGTGGTGGTAGTAGTAGTGGAGAAGAAGCGAAGCCTGGCAACTGCGCCACCTTTGAATAACTAACGCTAACCACTGGGATACACCGATCTCTCTTAAATAACGAAAATAAAAGTCATGAAGTTTTTACAATATCTGCCCATAAAAATGTAATTTATGCATTAAGAGCGCTAAGGGGATGTGAAATTAGAGCCCCGGGCTGTAACACGCCAGGATATATAAACGCTTATCACGCTGAAAAGAATTTTTTGCCGTCCGGTTTGGAGTAAGTAAAAACTTGTTTAGTATTCATATGGACACAAAAATAAATCAATTGACCGTACTATATCAACGTATGGCAGCTGCTGAAGCTGTTTGTCAACGGAACATAAATATAGACAGTTCTGGCTTTCGATGAGTATAGGTCAATTTAAAGGTAGAGGCCGCTAAAGTTACTTTACCGCCCTACGGCGTAAGTCCTCGTGCTGAATAGTCAAAATAAAAACAAAACTAGCAGGGTTATAATGGGTGATTCAAATTGAGTTTCCACATTACAAATAAATTTTTTTTTGACACGCCACTGAAATTGTCTACGACAACGTGCCATTTCTAACGTCAAACAGTCATGGAGAAATATGCGACCGAACAACGTGTTAAAATTATCAAAGCCTATAATGAAAACGGCCGATCCAGGAAGAATACATTTCGTGCTTTACGTGAATTTTTTGGCGCACAAAATCGGCCTTGTGAGAGGACAGTTTGGAATTTTCCACTATACAGCGGATTTTAACAAAAGATTTTAAGTTACACCCATACAGAGTCCAAATAACACAAGAATTGAAGCCTAGGTCACACATCAGGACAAACGATACAATTAGTGTGCGGCAAGTTTCCAGGTCGCGATATTTCAGGTAACGGCGATATCAATTGGCCGCCACGATCCTGTGACTTAACTCCCTTATATTATTTTGTTTGGGGTATTTCAAGAGCAAAGTCTACAAGAATAACCCGAACACAATTGCGGAGCTGAAACAGGAGATCAGACGCGAAATTACCAACATAGGAACTGATTTGTGCCACAGAGTAGTCGAAAATTTCTCGAAACGGATTACGACATGCCACGTGAGCCCCGGCGGTCATTTACTTGATATCATCTTTCAAGCATAATTGTAATGAACTGCCCTGAAAGGACACATACATACTTTTTTATAATCTTCAATTTCTTCTTTTTTTTAAATACTTTTAATGTGGAAACCCAATATGAATCACCCTATATATATATATATATATATATATATATATATAGGTGAAAAATTAAAGCTTCCGCCTTTTGTTGGGTACTTCGACAAAATTTAAGCAAAGAGGACTCTTTATACTTTTTTAATTCTCTCTAGCTTTCAATGGACTTTGCCATCATCATCGGGAGCTGCAATTACAATGATAACAGTAGCAACAATAGTGTAAAATGAATTTAAATTGACTTAACTTACAGTAGTATGTGAGGATGTTGCTAATTGTTGTTTACGTATAGGATGAGGGAAACGTCCAGTAACATGGTGATTGCACTTGATGATTGCACAAAATCGTGCAATCATCAAGTGGCTTCACGATGTAATGCTTTAATGTTTTTAAATAATTTTTAATCTGTTTTTAACTTGTTCTTGTCATATTTTATATAATTTTGACCATTGTACCATCTATCCAGCTCTCACCATGTTACTGGACGTTTCCCTCATCCTATACGTAAACAACAATTAGCAACATCCTCACATACTACTGTAAGTTGAGTCAATTTGAATTCATTTTACACTATTGTTGCTACTGTTATCATTGTAATTGCAGCTCCTGATGATGATGGCAAAGTCCATTGAAAGCTAGAGAGAATTAAAAAAGTATAAAGAGTCCTCTTTGCTTAAATTTTGTCGAAGTACCCAACAAAAGGCGGAAGCTTTAATTTTTCACCTAACTGGTCTAGACGACAATGACCACGTCTCAAGTTATATATATATATATATATATATATATATCAATGAATCTACCAGATCAACAGAGAGACAGGTCAAATAAAAAGAATGACATATTTTGTGAGACAACGTTATTGACACTACTTTAGCTCATGAAAAATAAAACCATGTTTTCTCAATACAGCTTGTATAAATTAAGATATTCAGGAATGTCACGCACGGGAAAAACAAAATCATAAATTAAAATTCCAAAATAAAACTAATGCCAATTAAGTCCCAATGAAAACCAGTTCCTGAAATCTTGATTAGTTCGATGACACGCGTGTCGAAAATCTGCGAAGTTAGTTTCTTTATTTGTATTAAATTAATTTGCAAAGAATACGCATTTTTTCTACCAACTAGAATAATGTTGACACCAATAGGGTCGTGTTGATTTTTAATCATTGCGCTGCTTTGGCGAAAAAAAGAGTCAAGTAGATCGACAAAGAACTTCTCATATAATTTAAACAAGCATTATGTGTTATTTATTATAAGTGAATATGAGATGTTTGGTTTGAAAATGTTTGGCACCCCAACATTTTTCACTGGGAACGTTTATCGCCCTTAACTGTCTTTCGACTTACAAAGCAAACAAAAATTACCGGACTGACAACAGACGGGTTTGTGCTGTATGATTTTCGTGAAGTACCGGGTGGCCAATAATAAAAGAACTATCGGTTAAAAAAAATATATTTAAAGTGGTCAAGGGAATTTGCTGGAAATTAGTTTCAGCTTCCTAAACTGGCCGCGAGGTGGCGACATTCCTTTTCAAAAATTTAAACGCCATCATTTTGCAAAAATTCATAAACAGCATTCTGAGCCTTATCGTGTTGACCGCTCAATTTTCAAACTTCACTTATATCATTTTTTCATATTTTGATTAGGGTGGGGGAAGGGTTGGATGTCATTTTAGAAGAAGTCACATAACTTCTGTATGCCAGCATCAATTTTGATGACCATGGTTTATCTTATAATGGTCTCCTAGAGAATGCTCAATCTTGTCAAATCAGTTCAGGTTCTGATCGCTAGATGGCGCGTTGTGGTTGTTTAACCGTGTTTTTTTTATTTTTTTTACAAAGATATAATTTTTTACATTACAGAAAGTGCACAAAAATTTCTACAAAATGGTGAAAATCGCATATCAATATCCGTTATGGAGATATATTAAGAAATAGGATTAAATTACAGTTTTCAACGCTGCTGAATAAGAAAGATGTATGCTAATAGTTGTGTAAGATGTATCTACCAATATGTCACGATTTTAAGATATAGTACCTTAAAATTTATTTTTAAGCTTTCTTTAATCGCCAGCGGCGTCCCTCTAGCGTTGTTAATTCAAGAAAACCACGCAACTCCACTTCATATGGCGTTTAAATAGGAAAAACACGTAATTCCTAATTTTACCTATTTTCCATTTTTGTTTTGAAAATTTCAGCTTTCTTTAAGTATCATTCAGAAACTGCTCAACCAAACTATAATATTGCATTTATCACAATCATGCTATTATTCCTAAAACAATATAGTGCATAACTCAATTTGTTTTTACGATTTCCTCTAAAATTCTTAGAAACGGATTTTTTCTTGTATCATCGACGATATACTTATTTAAATACTTCTCAACCTCAAAAATAATGATTTTTAACAAAGTTTTGAAGCATAGAAAATTGCCAATCAAATTGAAAAAAGTGACTGTTCAGTAAAACCATTTTTTTGCAATTTGTTTAAAAAAACTGTAGCATCCAACAAAGAGATTAAATAAACAAAATCGAGTTCCTCTCACGAATGCGTTGTTTTCTTCCGCTCTGTTGGACTAACGTTACCCATCAGCCTCCCTACACCTACGCCTTTGGCGACTCTTAGAAATCACCGCCGCCTTCTTCCGAGAAACGATCCCGCAACAGCGCGGCGGCTACATAATATTCACGGCCTACTCTGCCTCTGTGGCTCTGGGTGCGTGACAAGTGATAGTCAGCTGTTCGATCATGTGACCGCACGTTAGTCGGGTCGACGTGACGTCACTTACTGATGCTAAGCAGTAGCAGTTCGATGCTGAGAAAGGTCGTTATACAGTATTTCAAACTGGCGCAATTAAAACTAGCATAAACTGTGTTGTGCATATGTGTATTTTATGATCGCATGGAATTACTGTTCGAAGAAATGTTTGCTAAGGTCATTGGTTGAGTGTCGAAAGGGGATTAGCCA